ATGCCGCAGAGTAGTGCAGTGTCTCTTGAGTCAAGAATGAGAATTTCTCTGCGACCTTGGAGTTGACCAGCACCAGCCTGGCTCCCTACACCTCTGTGGCCACAGCTAGTCCACAGCACTGCACAGCTAGATGCTCTCCACACTAAAAGGGCAGCCACAGCTACAGGTGGACATTTCCTTCTTTCTTAATGGCAAAAAGGGCTGCCCTCTCTGCAGTTCTCCCCAGACTGCCCAGCAATGAAGACCCCAGTTGGAAGGGCCTTATGCAGCATGAACCTTATCAGGAGCTGAGGTCCATCACTGTGCATGTGTAAATGCAGAGAAAATACAATGCTATTTTGGTCAATTTGGAATATTCTAATAGCTAAGTAAAGTAGAGGAACACTAACATCTAACATGAAATTTGTGTCTCATTTTCTTTCCAAGGAGAAGAGCAAAGCAGTTCCAGGGGAAGAGCAAAGTGGAAAGCAGTTGAGCAGCTTTAAATTCCCTGAGCAATTTGGAATTCTCCAGGTTTAAAACTATTATGTAAAGTCACATTTTTAATAGTGTATTAATTTATTTCTTCCTTGAGAAAAAGAAACACTCAGGAATGTGAGAAACAACAGGGTGGGTTGTGCCCATAGTCACGCATGGCTGGTACATTCCCTCTTCCCTGTGGGCCTTGCTAAGCAACAACCCTTAAAACAACCCTGCACAAAGGTGACTGATCTGCCTGAGGTCAGCCAGAAGGGATCCTGGGGTAGTCTGAGAGGGTGGTGAAGGGCCAGCACAAGCCCACCCATCTGTCCATTAGGAGCTCAGCGCAGCAAACAGCTCTCCATCCTGAGGACCACAGCAGTTAACTGGGATAGGCCCTTTCTTACCCTGACCCTGCCATTATCCCCAAACTCTGTGTGACCCTTTGTCTTTTGGGAACAGGTAAATTCCAGCTTTGCTTGAAAGTCGTATCCTGGATTTGCAAAGGCTTTCCCTTTTCTCTGCAGATTCACTTCTTAAGTTCAGTCTTATGTCTGCCTCTCTAATGGGCCTCTTGAATCCTGGGATCCCCAGGCACTAAGACACTATGTTACACACGCAGGAAAAGGAGATCCTGGAGTGTTCTCAGTATACAAGTCTTTATACAATGTTCTAGTATCCACAAGACCCAGGACAGAGGCCAAGGCTGATTCATTATTCATGTAGTGTTGGCAGCACTTCAAAGTGAGATGCCGCAGAGTAGTGCAGTGTCTCTTGAGTCAAGAATGAGAATTTCTCTGCGACCTTGGAGTTGACCAGCACCAGCCTGGCTCCCTACACCTCTGTGGCCACAGCTAGTCCACAGCACTGCACAGCTAGATGCTCTCCACACTAAAAGGGCAGCCACAGCTACAGGTGGACATTTCCTTCTTTCTTAATGGCAAAAAGGGCTGCCCTCTCTGCAGTTCTCCCCAGACTGCCCAGCAATGAAGACCCCAGTTGGAAGGGCCTTATGCAGCATGAACCTTATCAGGAGCTGAGGTCCATCACTGTGCATGTGTAAATGCAGAGAAAATACAATGCTATTTTGGTCAATTTGGAATATTCTAATAGCTAAGTAAAGTAGAGGAACACTAACATCTAACATGAAATTTGTGTCTCATTTTCTTTCCAAGGAGAAGAGCAAAGCAGTTCCAGGGGAAGAGCAAAGTGGAAAGCAGTTGAGCAGCTTTAAATTCCCTGAGCAATTTGGAATTCTCCAGGTTTAAAACTATTATGTAAAGTCACATTTTTAATAGTGTATTAATTTATTTCTTCCTTGAGAAAAAGAAACAGAGAGATAGCACCCCCAACAGGGTCTTGACACAGCCACCCATCCCCAAGGTCAGCCAGTGATGGGCACACATGTGCCTGGTGTACTCAGGGAGGCACATCTCCCCGTGTGTGTCAGCCTCATGAAGATCATGCTTTACTGCATTGCCTCTATCAGGCCTTCTTCTTTGGCTTTACTTTCTTTGTTTTTTTAGAATTATGTATTGATTTTTATTTATTTTATTACTATTATTTAATTTACCATAAGGCACATGTGTTCACCAGAGAGAGACAGAAAGAAAGAAAGAGAAAGTGAGAAAGAAAGCCACCAGGTCTGGGACTTGAACCATGGTTGGCCATGTGGGAGTCTAGCACCCAAACCAACATGCCGATTGCTGGCCCCATGGCTTTAATTTTGCTGGACACCTAAAAAAAAATAAAAACAAAAACAAAAAAAAACAGTTTTCTGGAGGAAAAAAATTGTATTAATAGCAAGTTATAAAATATACTAATAAACAAGCAACGAACATCAGGGTTAAAGCTCAAGACCATCAGCTAGGTGAATTATCAAAAGTGACAATAATCTAAGTTTCTACCAAGGATCTGTGGAGCATAGGACAGGGTTTTAAGTCTTCTAAGGATTGATTAAGGAAGAAGCGTTATTCTTACTATTACTTTGCCTTGGATTAAAACCCAAAAGCATCTCAATTATTTTTCTCATAGAATATTATAAATAAAATGAGGCGATCATGGTTTTGTCCTCTGACTGTACCCCTTCTTTAGCATCTTATAGATAGGCATTTACACCCAGGAGCAAGTTTTCTTAACTTGGGATCTCCTTTTTTTTTTAAACAGAAATTTTTGTTGTAGGGCATTTGTGCTTGCTGGAGAGACAGAATGAAAAATCACCCTCTCCTCCCTGGGAGATGGCCAGTCCTTTCTCCTCCATCCTCCTCTTGGGATTTTGGGCATGCATGTGCAGGCACCCAGGGTATTTTAAGCTACTGGTTCCAGGAAACAGGGTCGACTATGTGGGAGTCCAGAGAGGTAACCTTTATGTCATCTGCTGGTCCTTTGACTTCGGTTTTAGTCTGTTCTCTGTTGTTTTAACAGAATATTACAGATTAGGTAATTTATAAACAATAGAGGTTTATTTAGCTCATGGTTTTGGAGGTCCAAAGACAAGGAGCTACACCTGGTGAGGGTCTTCTTGTTGATGGGGACCCTTTGTAGAATGCGGGGCATCACATGGTGAGAGGGCAAGAGCTGTGTTTGTCCACACCCACGCTTCTCTGCTTTGCCCTCACTCCCTCTCCTTACAAAGCTACAAGTTCGATCAACCACACCCTAGTGACTTCATCTCATCCTAATCACTTACCAAGTCTCTGCCTCTTAATTCCATAGCTGGATTATGTTTTCACCATCTTAATATTGTGACAAACAAATTTCAACATGGAACATTTTGAAGGATAAATTAAAACCCATAGCAACTTGTTTTCCTCAAAAGTTAAAATTCTTGAAATGTTTTCATGCTGTTCTGTGTATCAGTAGTTTATTTCTTATTTTGGAGTAGTATTCCATTGTGTAAATGTACCATCATTTTTTTTAAAAGAATTATTTATTTAATGTTATTTATTATTATTATTTAATTTGACCAAGGAGAGACACAGAGAGAGAAAAAGGGAAAGTGAGAGAGCAAGTTGCCACATCTGGGACTCAAACCATGGTTGGCCATGTGGGAGTCCAGTGCCTTCACCATAATCCTATCTGCTGACTCCACCATCATTTGTTTAGTCAGTTTCCTGTGGAAAAATATCTGGTTACATCAGTATTTGACTATTATGCAGAAAACTGCTTGGGACATTTGTGCACAATTCTTTGTTGATAAATGTATTTATTTTCTGTACATACATGTATATGAAATTACTGAATCACGAGGGTAGATACATGTTTAGCTTTAATAGGAACAGTTGAAGTGTTTTCCAAAGTGGTTGTAATAATTATAATATAGGGAGTGGGAGTTCCTGCTTTCACATTACGACCGTTTGGTGGTCTCAATCTTTCTACTCATAGTCATTCTATTGGATCTTTAGTGGTATCTCATTATTTCCCTGATAAGCAATGTTTACCTTTAATATTATGTGTATTACTCATTCCTATCTTATTATTTATTTTTGTAAAGTGCCTGCTTTTAAATTGCTCATTAAAAAAATTTTGTTGCAGAGAAAGGATGAGGTGAGAATTTTTGGTGACTTTTTTTTTTTAACTGAAACCTCTTTGGACTTTGTATCCTTGTCACACTGTTTTCACATTGCATATTTCTTAATGCATCCGCTGACTTTCTTAGATGATCATTGCAAAAGGCTAGAATGTTTGTTATTGCTACTTATAGAAAGGTAGAAATATCATTATCTCAAATTGTAGAATGTTAAAACATGTTTTTTAAAGGCAAACTGCACTTTTTAAGACTCATTTTGTTTTTCCTTTCTTTATCTGTTGGTCAAGATCCTGGCAGAAGTGAAGAGGGAGGATGAAGAAACCATTGTCAAAGGTGTGGCAGGGTGAAAGAAACTCAGAAATGGAAGGAGAAGCACCCTGGAGCTAGTGTAAGTGAGTGGCTTTTGCTCACACTGGTCTGAAATTAGGAGCATTAGATTTAAATTTTGGGCAGTTCAATGATATAGCTTTGGGAGAAGGCTGCTCTATAGTGCTGTATCTACTGGTGGAGAAAAATAGTTACTCTGAAATGCATTCTAGCTGGAAGTGAGCAAAGAGAATAGACACTGCAAACCAGGGCAGTTAATTATCTCATCTCTCTCTCCCCTCCTGCCATTCTCACCCATAAGCCAAACTCCCTTGGGAGGCAGAAGAAAAGTGCGTCAGTACATAGATCCCATAGCGGTCAGCCCTGGAAGGTGGGGCCGGCCAGAGGGGACAAATCTACATGATCCAGACTATTACACATCAAATGATGGGCTTAAGACTAGTAAATCCTAAAATGGCTCGATTTGTATTGTGAGCTGATAAAGTCGTAGAATGATTTCTGGGGAAGCTTCACTTTGAATAATTTCTAGACAACTTAGGATTCCGCTAGACCTGCTCAGATGAACTACCTTTGATGACTGGACAGTCAGGGGAGGAGATGAAAATGCTGAGAAGAAGAGATGTAGAACAAGAAATGTAAAGTGAAACCTGGGATTGCAGCCACCATCAGAGAGGATGTGAAGACACTCTGGCAGTGGGAATAGGAGGATAAGTCACAGGTCTCGTACTCAGTGGATGGACAGGTGTGTGTGTTTCAGCCTGGAGGACTGCAAGCAGTGGGTGAGGAAGAACGTTGCAGAGAGATGGGATGTCCTGAGCACTGAGGGTTGTGCTGGGAAAGTAGCAACTGTCTCATCAGAGAAGCTTCTGCCCTAACCCAGCCCTCTGCTCTGCAGAATAGTGGGGAAGTCTGGGCCTCAGGAAGCCACATAAGATGACAACAGGACAGTGACATAAATGGATTGTCTTTGAATTAGGAAAAGCAAAGCTGATAATTCAGCTCCTACCCAAGAGGACCAAAACCCTGAGCACAGAGGTGTAGTGTAGCCCGGTTGCACCATGGGCTCCAGGCTTCTTCACTGCATGATGCTTTGTCTCCTGGGAGCAGGTGAGTCTGGGGACAAGGGAGCTTCCCAGGTCTGAGTTTACTGACTCCTGAATCCTCCACTCTACCTTGGGACCCCAGGCACTCTCCTGAGCTCATTCTCCTTCTGCTTCTCCCACAGGCCCTGTGGAGGCAGGAGTCACTCAAACTCCAAGACACCTGATCAAAACAAAAGGACAGAAAGTGACACTGAGATGTTCCCCTATGTCTGGACACAACAACGTGTATTGGTACCAACAGATCCTGGGCCAGGGACTCCAGTTCATTTTTGAATATTACAGAGAAGAACAAGGAGCAAAGGGAAACTTCCCCAGTCGGTTCTCAGCTCACCAGTTCCGTGACTACAGCTCTGAGATGAATGTGAGCTCCTTGCAGCTGGAGGACTCGGCCCTGTATCTCTGTGCCAGCAGCTTGGCACAGCCCTGCAGAGTCACTGACCTTCTATGCACAAACTTCTTACCTGGGCTCTGGCAGTGAGAGCATGTGGGCTTCCACCCAGGCTTTGCTCTTCAAGAAATGTTTTTAGTAATTTCAAAGGCACTTCCTTTATCCTGCTCAGCTCAGGGAACTTTCAGCCTACAGAGAAACCAGGCTCAGATGTGTGTGCTAGTATTTCTACTTCTTTAGTGATACCTTCTTGTAACCTATCAAGTCCTGGGCAACTTCACTAGAAGAAACAACTGAGTTCCTAACATGTGCTAGATGTTTTGTATATGTTATTTGCTTTAAAGCTTTAGCACAATCCTGCCAATCAAATACATTTATACTCACTTGACAGATGTAAAAGCTATAGTAGAAACTGAAAGACTGGGAGGTATAATAGCAGGGAGCAACTATAGATCCTAGGGACAGTATAGTACTGGGTGGGTGATGGGGGAAGATAATGGGGTGGAGAGAGAGGACCAGGGAAAAAGTAAACAAACGAAACATTGAACAGACACAGATATGGAAAGTTATCTGTTGATAACATATATGGTAATGTCTTTGACTTAACTAATATGCCCTGTATTCATGCTGGGGCAAAACCATGTACCCTGTAAAGATGTACAGTGATTAAATGTAAATTAAAAAAATGTTTAAGTAAAATGGATCAAACAAACTATACAAATAAAAAACATCATAGTAGGAAAAATAAAAGTGGCAATAAGTCATTTCCTCAATGTCTCATAGTTAGTAAAAATCAGCATATAAACGTGTTTGTGTTTACAAAGTTCATAAATTTTCCAATGCTCACCTGCTTCACTGTAATCTCCTGTGTCCTGGCTGGTAGGATCCAGCCCCAGCCCTGTCTCTGTGTCCAGATGGGCAATAGGTGGAAGCTCCTACGTCATCATCAATTATTATTAGGGCCTTTTCCTGGGCAACTCTAGGAATGTATATACTTCTATACTCATTTTTATTTTTATCATTTGCTTTCAATCCTCGTGGCTTTTCACAGCCTACATTTTCATCTTTTATGGTACATTTTGATGTGTAAGAGTTTAATTTAATGCAACTGAAATTATAGTTTTCCTTGTGCCTTGACTAAAGAAATCCTCCCTCAAATAAATGCCTAAAATACTTACCTTAATTTATTCTAGTAAAATTTAAATTTTACTTTTCACATCTAAGAATAAACGTACCTGAAATATATTTTCATGCCGGGGATGAAGTAGAGATCTAGGCGTCAGAAGGAGCATATGTTCAATGTGGAAGGAACAGTCTGTGAAAAAAATCTTTAGTGAGGAAAAGAACTCAGCACATATGAGGAGACAACTGAACATGGATTCCATCTTCTGGCTGGAGCAGAGGGAGCCCGAGCACACAGCAAGATGATGTGAAGAGACAGATGAAGCACGAATGATAAAAGACCTTCCAAGGCTATTGCCTCATAAAAGAGGCCACATGGGGGAAGATTTATGACTGCAAGTGGGAGGGCGGTAGAGGGTAGAGGGTAGATGACCAAATGACCAGCTGATAGAGACAGTGACATCCCCTACTGACACCACTGAGGGCCAGGTTATATTTCCCCAACATACACACTGAAGAAAGATCCCCTCTATCACCCCATCTGTCCTGACTTCTCTGCTGTGTGTCTACGTTATTGGGGTTCCTCCCTGGCACTGTCTTCAGAGCTTACCTCCCTTTATCACAGGCTCCACAGTTGCTGAGACAACCAAGATCCCAGGAAAAAAGTGGCAATGACACGTTGATAATTACTGTTTTTGGACTCTGTGTACAGATCTCAACATTGACTCTAGGCTAAGGCTGGTCCATTAGAGCAAGCACAATTAATTCATTCCTGATGAGTCTGTGACTTTACTGCAAAGCCAGACACATCACCCTGGTGTCTGACAGCTGCTCCCAGAACTCTGTGTCTCTTATTCCAGCAGTCATCCCACAGCCTCCTTCCTCTGCACGCAAGGGTCCTCAGAAGATATGTGTGGCCATGGCCTAGTCAGGGGAAGACATTGTTCCACAGGGCCCTCTCCCAGACTGTCAGAGGGGCCTTTGAGCTCTGTGAGCTCTTTCTTCAGGATACTGTTTGGTGCATAGGCTCTAACTCAGGTTAGTCTTAACAGAGTGAGGAAATCCCCCCAAAACATGAAGTGAATGGACTCAAGCTCCTCCAAACCCCCTTTTGTGGCTTCACCTTTGGAGCTCCCTCTACTCTGGCCTGCAGAAGAGTTCCCCTCAGATGCTCATGGAAAGGGACATTTACTTGAACTTAGTTAATAATAACACTGTTTGACACCACGTATCTGTATTCTTTTCCCCATGGTCATTCATGATTCTGTCTTCCTCACCCCATTCTCATCTCAACCTTCAGCCTTCCTCCTACCGGTTCTCTCCAGGTCCTTGAACCCTCAGCTCTGCTTCAGCCATATCAGCCTCCACTAGACGCATTCCTCATATGTACCGTGCTCCTACCACAAAAAGCTTTCCCCTCTTGCAGGCGGTATTCCCTACTTCAACACAAGTCTCCTGTTTGCTTTGTCTTGCTCCATACCTCAGTTTAACTGTCCCAACCTGGGGGGACAGCCGAACGGGTTTCCTGAGTGAAGGAGTGAGAGCCGGGGCAAGCAGCATAGTGTTACAGCACGGAGACGACAGCGTCGTCTGTTTATTGTGGGCAGCACGGTACAGCACAGAGACGACGCAGTGTCACAGCTCTTAAGGGTCGCGTCGTCTACTGTGAGCAGCACGGAGACGACGCGGTATCACAGCTCTTCAGGGTCGTCCGGAGACGATGTAGTGTTACAGCTCTTCAGGGTCTCCCAGGTCGTCTGGAGACGATGCAGTGTCAGCTCTTCAGGATCTTCAGGGTCGTCTGGAGACTGCACGGTGTTTCAGCTCTTCAGGCTCTTCAGTTGTCGTCTTCCTGGTTGTCGTCGTCTGGCTACTGTGGGCCAGGCATCGTGGTTATATACACTCTGGTGGGTTGTAAACGGTGGGCCCTGATTGGTTGTTAATGGTGGGCCCTGATTGGTTGTTAACGGTGGGTTATGATTGGTTGCTTTTGGACCAATCATGAGGTGCAGGATATGCAAATTTGAGGGATTCTAGTGGCCAAGCAGAGCAAGGTTTCGAAGGTCAGGTTTTTGGAAGGGAACCAATCATGGTAACTGTTTGCTCTCTGAGAAACCTCGGCAGACTCGCTGGTGTGCAGCTTCCCACATATCCCCTTTATTTATTTTAATTTGATCAGAGAGGGACAGAGAGAGAAAGAGGAGAGAGAGAAAAAGCATGACAGCAAGTGGCCAGGTCTGGGACTTGAACCACGGTTGACCATGTGGGAGTCCAGCACTCTCAACCACCATGCCACCTGCCAACCCCCGACCATTATTGTCTTTACTCCCAGTTGGCCATATGGGCCACAAAACCCTCCCTGCCAAATCCAAGCACAAAACCAGATGTCTGTAGAGACTAGGCATGTCACATGGAAGAAAGAAGTACATCCAGCGTGTGCAGCAGTTGAGAGCCGCCTTCCCTTCCCTGAGGTAATAGGCTCCCTTCTGGCTCATGTCTGTCATCCATTATTTGATTGCTTTGGTTGGCCTCTGTCTTTTTTTTTTTAATTATTATTATTAAAGAATTATGTATTTAATTTTATTTATTCATTCATTCATTTATTTTAATTTGACCAGAGACA